TATAATAAGCAGCCCCCAATGTTACGTCTTAAAACCGCAACTTTGTGTCCGTAATTCTATGCAATTGGGCTTTAATTGCACTTCGCTTGGGACCAATGGGGTCAAATCCGCCCTAGATGCGGATCAGCAGCCCGCTTTTCCGTCTCGTCGTGTGCGCTTTTTAAAAGGTCAGTTGGTCACCCGTCTCACCAATACCGGTTGAGATGCCATCAAAGCACGAGACGATTCTCTCCGTATTTTAAACCGCGCAGAGGAAAAACAACAGATCCAAGAAGAGCCGGACCCGCGAGTCTCAGCCCTAGAGATATAAATTCAAGAACACGGACAGGTTCAACGCAGAATAACGGATGATAACGCTTTGTAAACAAAGAAAAATTTACAAATAAACGTACATTTATAGAAGATATATACGTCCATGCATACTATTATTTTTTATTCAAGAGAAAAAAATAATAATTTTAATCACTTAATTTTTTAAATTTAAAATCGTGATTTAAATCTAACTCTTTTTTTATTGAGACAAGACAAAAAGCAGAGTAAAAATATAATCACAAATAAAAATAAAACAACTATTTAAAAAATAACACAATTTTTTTTGTATAGTTCGAACAAAAATACAAATGTTCCCCCTTTTTCTATGCCCATCCCGTTCCTTACATCTGAGTCTACAAACCCAAAAGTGCTAAAAGTTCGTTCTACTGACACTGAGGAAGCAGTTGCACACAGGAACTGTTTTGGTTAGTTTTGGTATTCCATTTATGTTTTTTATTATTTCATCAGAAAACAACTGCGGGCATTCAACTTTATTCCAAATGGGAAAAGTCCAGTGTTTCCATATAAATTATTAATTGTTTCTAAAGTCAGATTCTTTTCTTCGGGTGTTAATTCATATTTTCACTTTAGAGCATTCAACACATAGGCTGTAAAATGATGGCGTGAGTGCCTGCTTACATCTATCCTGAAATTGTTGAACTTTTGATAAAGGTAATTCTAAAACATTCTCGGAAATAAATTGTGAATATTTCCACTGCTCTACAGCATCCGAGAGTAGCGTTATTTCTCTGCAAAATATCAAGAGCAACTGATATTGGTTTAATAATATTCTTGTGCTGCATGTTTAAGCCCAGTATTTGACAAATTTTGATAAATGGTTCAATCAATTTGGTTTTTGTTTCCTTCCCAGATTTTTGATAATATATTCCACTATTCCATCGTTCATCAGTTGAAAGGACTAAAGCGTTGCCTCCTGCTTGACTGAATTCTCTAGCGGTTATCGCGAAAATACGTAACAATTTGGACTACATGTTCTTTGACGTCTGGTATTTCTAAGTCTTCTGAACAGTAATTTCAAAATATGTGCATATGTTATAACTTTTGAGTCCGTCTTTTCCTCCAAAATTTTTATCATAAAGGCCATATTTGCTTGGTTATGTGTCACAAAATACTTTACCTCGCAGTCATATTGTGATTTACATAAATCAATTAGGTCATAAACTAATTCAGCCAAATATTGTGAAATATTACGTTTTCCCGAAGTATTTGTTGTTATTGTTGCACATTACAACTGGCTCATTGTGGACGTTTGACCAACCCACATTGTCCTGACTGAGAAGATGTCCCCTAAAATGTTTGTCGATAAAATTTTTTTTGATGGCGATGTATGACCAGGTCTTAATAAGTGATTAGCTTTTTTTACTTCAGAGTTTTCAATGCATCGAAGGCTTGAATTAGTAGCAAAAATTGCCTGTGACGTATGAGGTTTTCCCCAAGTGCCAATATTATCGTAAAGCAGCGCTTCACTTGTTATTGTTGCACATAAAACTGAATATCCTGTACATTCTTCCCTAAGATAAAGAAATTATACAATATTATGCATCGTAAAAAATAAAAATTAGTAAGTATTTAAAAATTATAAACATTAACATAAATAAAATATGCATGAATTCGAATTTGGGCAAGAAAAGATAAAAAAAGACCCGAGTTGGAATGTTAAATAAAAATCAAATAAGTAATAATAAAACACAATATTATTTACCTATCTGGATTCGATTCTTGCTGTTTATTATCACGAATATCATGGTGTGCCTTTGAACTATCCCCCGAATTTCTTTCTTGTAGATTTTACAAATCCTTCTACACCCAGATTTATTTGGATCTATTTTAACGTAAAACTGCCATATGCTATTTTCTTTTATCCCAGCCATTTTTCACCTTATTCTCTATTTTCCACTAGTCTCACTCCTTTGACATACTACCAACTAAATACGAAAATACTTAGTTATAGCGGCTTTAAAATATTTTGTAATTGCTACAAAAGAAAAAACGGAAAATATATATTCTTATGAAATTTAAAAAAAAAACAATTAATATCAAAAGTCTTTTTTTTAAATCAATTATTTTTAATTTTTTCAAAATTTGCCCAACACTATAATACGTATAATAAATACCGGCCGGCTGAGACGAAAATCCTGCCAAATTAATTCGTTCCCTTGCATCAAATAGAAAACAAACGGGATAGTCACCGCGAAGGGCGAAAATACGGTTCAATGAAAATAAAAACAACGAATTGAAACTTCCCTGACTTTTTAAGAGTTTAAGACCATGTTGTGGCTTTTCCAGGCAAACTCCTAAATCACTAGGCTTTTTGGTAGGCGGAAGGAACCCCGTGAATAGTGGCGACATACCGGTTTCACTTCTATATACTTCGACTAGGCAAATAAAGATCTATTGGCGGACGCAGAGCGATTATCATTTAATCTTATCACCGGCGAAGTTACTTCGGTACACTGATTGGCGAATCACATCTAAAACAACAAAGATAACCAGTCGATAATCGAAAAACGCTACTGGTGTCACCCGCATATCTACGAATGTGCTGGGGAGATTAATCTACACGAGGAAAGCTCGCCGTTAGAGCAGCAGGTTGGCTCGCTCACCACACGCGCCTGATCATTATTATACCCAGAGTTACTATATAAACAATTCTTTAATGAAATTGAACAGGAAGAGAGGAGTGTTCCAAAATTTAAATATCCATGAATCGATGGCGTCCTTGGCAGCATTATTTTGACAGAAAACTTCAAAATTGAAAAAAAGCCGCATAAGAAACGACAAAGTAACAAAAATGAATAATATATTAATAAAATGGTGCAATTTTTGCCATTTGCCTTCTCGTTTTGAACGAAACTCTAGATCAATGTTGCTATTCTGACGCTAGAGAATGAATTTCGCTTGCGTATGCAGATTGTTTTAGCTATATTTTTTTCAATGCCCAACGTTATTACCAAATGGCAAACGATCGGAAACTTTTGCTGTAGAAAAAACGAAAAACCATGACGGGCACACAACGAAAAACCTACTGGGGGGTTTATTTCAACCCCAATGGACGGGGAAACAAAGCCAATATCCGTATAAAAAATAAATTTGCGAAAAGACATCCCAATGAAACCTAACCAAACTATTGAAAATTATTAAAAAGCATTTCAATCAAGTAATCAAAATGCTACTATAATAGGATAAATCGTAAATATGTACTACTATAAAATAATAATAGTAAACATATAAACATTTTTTCCATAACTGATCTCAAACAAAAGAAATTTGAACCTAATTATACAGAGTGGCCCAATTGCCACGGGCCACTATGGCTACCTTGGTAACTATAAGAACTACAAAGTTGTTCAAATTAAAAAATTCCAAATTGAAGAACGTCAGAAATACAAAAAAAAATATTACTTTTTGTAAAAATTGTACTTTTTGAGATTTCGAAAACCCTCGGTCCAAAATATTTTTTTTCTTAATGTGAAACCAGTTTTTTAATATACCCCAAAAAATGCACATTTTATCTCATTTGACGAACCTGGTAGTTCTTATAGTTACCGAGATAGCAACAGTGGCATGGCAATTGGGACACGATATATAATGCAGTGGTAAATTGGTAAAATTTCTAAAATAAAAAAATGGCTGTGAACTTGAAAAAATATATATACCTACTTAAAAATGAGAAAAAATTATAAAAACATTTGAAAAAGATTTTTTCTTCCATATAGTACAAAAATTTTCCATATACTCTGTATATACATATCTTATAAATACCTTTAGGATGAGTTATTAAAAACTCAAAGGAGTGATCTAACAATTTCTTATTTTCAATATAATTTTGCGCAAAATTTTTTGATCTTTTCTATCTCCAAATGTAAATGTTCAATATTAGCAAGCCCTTTTTCGGGATTGAGATTATTGGTAAAGCGAATCCTGTCGAATATCAAATTTTGTAAATACAAAGACTGTTGATATATTCTTACCTAATTTGTTCACTTTATTATTATATTTCTGATAAAAAAGACCACTTATTTGTGTAAAAATTTCAAAAAACCAGTAATCAGTTTTAGGCAATCATATAACAAAAATATTTCCTAAAGTTAACAGATTTTTTTTATATCTGCTTTTCATTGGCATTTCATTTAAATAGTAGTAAAATTTGCAATTAGACACACTTGTAGCCAAAAAATAATATAATAAATAATTCTAAAAATATAAAGAAAATTTTTTGGTCTATGTATCTGATATTGGAATAAGCCGTTCTGCGCGCCGCCTTCGTTTCTGGCCGAGTACGCCGCTGGTGTCCCGATCTCGCGTGCGGCATAAACAGACCAGTTCGGCGAACACTGCGAGTCCGCGGGGGCCCCTGTCGCATTCTTGTGCCTGTTTCGGGTCGCGCCGAAGGGATGGCGTCGATACCTGCTCGGCCACATGCAACAAGTGACGTCACCGCAGGCTATATCGTCAGGGGTTCGCGCGTGTCGCGTTCAAATCAAAGGTTCGCGAAAAGCGTTGGAGGAGACGATTCCCGTGAAGAGCAAAACGCCCCTAGCGTCGCGACATCCGCGGGTAAACAAAGCGGCGAGAAAACGCACTTATCGCGTGTGCCGCAGCGGCGTACGTCACGTGTTCCCCGTTCCTCGCCCTCCACCGTCAGCTTCCCGGTAAGACGCACTTACCTTCGTCCAGAAGCCTTTCGACGTGAATAAACACGTTGGGAAAGGCGGCCAGTTGTTTCCTGTCTTTCAGCAATTGCGCCAGGTAGTCCGCTATGCTCTGCGTCGACGCAGCGGCAGCGGCCGCGTTTTGGTCGCACATTTTTTCGTCTTTGCTCACAAGCTCAAATCAAAACCTCAAAAATTTCATAAACATTAACGCCGCGCCGCGTTCGCACACAACTCAACTCGTTACGCTCGTGTACGCGACTGACCGGCCGAGCAACGCGAGAGGAATGAAGTGTGGCGATCCGGGAGGCCGGAGCGCGCGTGCGCGCGCGTCAAGAGCAACGTGCGCGGTACGGCCGGGTTGGCCTTTTATGGGGCGACCGACGTCACGCACTCAAAGTCGATCTTTATGCTGTTTCTGGATGGAATTTCATAGGGTCGCCGCCACCGATGAGCGCGAGGCGCCGACTGATATGAGGAAGGCTTAAGTCGGATTGATAACGTGTCGATAATCTGCCGATTGATACAAGACAAACAGAGGGTACAGCGCGATTCGGCTACCGACCTGGTCGAATAAGCATTGCAGGATGTCGCACTTCTGCAACTGCCTAGAAATCGAAGTTGAAAGCAGATGCACCTTCGTTTATCTTGGAAAAATCTGTAAAAACCGTACACCGTGTACACCGTAATTATTCTTTTACAAAATTCCACCTAATTCCGCTAGAATTCTTCCGAACTATAATACGATGGATAATTGTGATATTTTAATGTCGAGTCATCTAATTATATTTTTAAGTCATTCCGACTGAGAATGACTTAACTTCATACATCCATTACCACCTTGGAAAATCATATTTATGTAGATGTTAAAAAGTAATCTTTGGTTCAGCCAAGGTTACTTTAAATAAATGTCATACTTAAAATTGTTATTCTCTTCAAGTCCCTAAAAAGTACGCAGTACTAGGTATTCAATCGATTCCTTGGTATTCGATTCCTTGAAACATTCGATATACTTCCCATTCACGCATGAACAAGATGAACTTTAGATGATAGAAAACGCGAATTGAAGTCTACCTGATTATTACTATTGTTAGAAAATTATTTCTATTAAAATTAGGGACCTAAAGATCATCCAGAATCCTTTAAATATGGCCTGAAATGTAATGTCACGATTTCAGTCAGTCGAAATTTACGAACTAACCAAAATCCTTTTATATATGGATGGATGGATGGATGTGTTGTTTTTTTGATTATTTTAAGCAATTTTAATAATAATTTCGATTATGACTGAAGAATGATCTTTGAAGGCCCAGTCAGGAGAATCTTCCGGTTGTGGGTGCTTTTATGGTAACTAAATTGTGTAAATCGGCAGAAGACAGCGATGTTAAATGTCTTTTCCCTTCGATTGCGTGTACAATAGTGCATCGTGACGTCATAATCAAACTTCGAATGCGTGTAAAGTTATTCTGAGTTGTTGTATTTCAAAAATATTTGGCGTGAGTGTTGTAAACTTATTAATAAATATTTCTAGCAATAAAAAAATATTCCTAGCTGATGTCTTTAAAGAATTTGTTAAGGTTATTCGTTGCCTGTAACTTAATTTTTATTATATTTTGTGTAGAAATGTTTTTATTATACGTGTGCCTTTAACGGGTGTCATTCAAAAACTGCGGGAGGTGTGGCTTTATTTTGTTTCCCGAAATACATGAATCAGTAAGTAACTACTTTTGCACTTCTTTTATCTATTAATTATACTGTTAGTTTGTTTAATCTTCTCATCCAAAAAAATGGAAGTTCATGTTGCAATGTTGCAACAAAGGTTCAATAAGAGGATTTAATGAATAATAAACATGCAGTTTTTAATATCAATTGTGTGTTTTAGTGCAAACTTTTGGTTAGAACCTTGCTGCAACTTGTGTGTTCCTTCTTTTTAGATGTTGTAGTTGTGCCAGAATTTACAATGGACAAAACTAATCAAACTGAGCAAACTGCAGCAAGCAAAAAATTTAATAGTTTTGGTTTTTTGGTTAGTTATAATTTTGACAGAATATTGTAATTTTGGGATAATTCGGCAATTTATTGTGTATTGTCGAATGATTTCATTTTTTGTGTTTTACTCGTTTGCCAGCTGTAAGATATAATCTTCAAATTAAAAAACTGCGCGAATTTCAGCAGACTATAACAAAAATGTTTCGGGATGCTGAAAATTTATTTAAGACCTATAAAATAAATGTAACTTAGTTTGTAATAATATTTAATGTACATTTTTTATTAGGTTTCGGAATTGAGAAACAATATATAAGATATTAGAAAGCAATTTTTTCCCTGCCAAAAAGTAATGGCCATAGAAAAAATAGAGTATGTAACACGTTGACAATAAACTTCTTTAGTCACTGGTTTATTAATCATTCGCTCTGCTCAAGCCTAAAGAAACTCGTGGCTAAAATGACATTCATGAAACTTGTTCCATAATATAATATTGTATCCAATATTTTTCTTGAACTCTGGAATTTCCTAGATTATGGTATGTATACAGCGAATCACCTTTGCGATTAATATGATTCTTTATATTTTGAGCAGTGTACATTATCAGCCTGCCATATCACATACTGGCAAAACAAAGTGTATTTTGATGCAGGTTTATGTAAACATTTTGAGTAATAAAAATTAATAGGCGTATTTCTAGGAAATGTGAAGTCCTACTATGGTTACTTTTTAAAATTACTTTCATACTGTGCATGTGATCCCAAGTTGTACTTTTCTTTTAATGGAACCCTCATTAAATTATAGCATTTTCGGATTCTACTATCAAAATAAGAGTGTTTCAATTAGTTTTTTGATACCTAAATCTAAGATTTATTGGATATATTATATAAAATTTCCATTAGCGAACCATCCCGTTTTATACAGGGTGGGCAAAAATTTATCTTAATCTATTAACAACTCTAAGTGGCTGACTAACTTGACTAATTTAAATGGAACGCTGTATTTTTTAATTTAAAAAAAAAAACCTTAACACCATTCGACAGGTAGGCAGGCAGGCAGGTTTATTCTTCTTCTTCTTCTTTTTGGCACTACAACTCTGGGTGAGTCTTGGCCGCATACACTATTGTCCTCCAGCTCTGTCTATCCTGAGCTTCCAATTCCCAAAGGGTTATACCCATTTTCCTCGCGTCCTCCGTAACTGCGTCTTTCCACCTCCTTCTAGGTCGGCCAACAGATCGCTTTCCTTCTGGCCTTTCACAGTATATGATATTTAAGAGTCTCTGATCATTGCTCCTAACAACATGCCCTGCCCATCTCAGTCGACCAGATTTAATACATCTTACTATGTTTTCCACACCATATAGTTGTTCAAGTTCATTATTATTTCGACGTCTCCATTCTCCTGTTACAATATCCCTGGTTGATCCAAAAATCGCTCGTAGTATTTTTCTTTCGAAGACCAGAAGCTTGTCGGTTTCTCTTTTGTTTAGGACCCACGTTTCGCTACCGTATGATAAAACAGGGCGTATTATGGTCTTATATATTTTTATCTTAGTTCCTCTTGTAAGTATTTTGGATCTAAGGAATCCTGATAGCGCATAGAAAGCCCTATTTGCCGATGCAATACGTGCGGCTACCTCTTTTTCGTTCCTGTTGTCATCTGTTATTGTCGCTCCTAGGTATTTGAACTCTTTTACGACTTCAAAATTGTAGTTATCTATTGTAATATTTTGCCGTATTCTTTGCCTGGGGTTCTTAGACGTTATCATATATTTAGTTTTAGCTTCGTTGATCCTTAATCCCATTCTTTGAGCATGATTTTCAAAAGAGGAGAATATTTCTCTAACATCTATAGTATTATGTGCCACAGCATCTATGTCATCGGCAAAGGCTAACATAAGTTTCGTACCATCCGTTGCGAAACCCGGTGTTATTTGGGGAGAGATTTTCTTCATGGCCCAGTCCAGAGCCAGGTTAAAAAGCAAAGGGGATAGAAGGTCTCCCTGTCGCAGGCCTGTATGTATTTCAAATATTTCTGACGTAGTCTCACCAATTCGTACTTTTGCTTTGGAGCCCCCTACGCACATTCTAGTTAAACTTATTAATTTTAATGGGATTCCCAATTCCCTCATTGCATACCATAGCTGATCCCGGTTGACTGAGTCGTAGGCCTGCTGGAAATCCAAGAATATTTGGTGTATGTCTTTATTGAATTCCCAGCATTTCTCCATAATCTGGCGGACTATAAAGATTTGATCCGTCGTAGACCTCCCCGGTCGGAATCCACATTGGTAATCTCCTAATATTTCCTCGGCATATGGTGTTAGTTTCTGCACAAGGATCAATGTCACTATCTTATAGGTGGTATTTACCAATGATATTCCTCTATGGTTACGACAGTCCGCTTTCTTTCCCTTTTTATGGATTGGTATTATTATGCTACTGTTCCACTCATCTGGCATCTTTTCGCGTTTCCATATAGTTGATATGATCTGGTGTATCATTTGGTGTAGTTCATTTCCTCCGTTCTTTACGAGTTCTGCATTAATTTCGTCTTCCCCTGGGGATTTGTAGTTCTTTAATTTGTTGATAGCCTTCTTAACGTCATCTAGTGTAGGCGGTTCCAATTCCAATTCTGCAGTATAGAAGTGCGTGTCTTTGTCACTTCCATCTACTTGTCTATTAAGCAGTTCAGAGAAATATTGCCCCCATCTTTGAATTATATCATCCTCCGACGTCAGTAGTCTTCCGGTGCTATCTTCTACAAAATTTAGTTCTCTTATCGTCTGTCCTGTTTTTCCGATTCTTATTCCTCTATAAAATTCTCTTACTTGGTTGTTCGTGTTGTTTTCCTCTATTCTTCTTACTCTTTCCTCCAAATGTTCCTTTTTCTTCTTTCTCAGTAGTCTTCTGGCTTTGGCACGTGCTATATTAAATATCTCCTTGTTTTCATTCGTGGGGTTCTCCAAAAAAGTCATTCTTTTTCTAGTCTTCTCATCCAATATATTTTTACATTCTTGGTCGTACCATCCATTTTTCTGACTCCCTGTTGTTGTTCCTATAGTTTCACTAGCTGCTTCTCTTACTATCGTCTTTAATTGTTGCCATTCGACTTCAACATTTTCTTCAGTAGTTTCAGTTTGTAGCATTTGCATTTTGTTCCTAATTGCTTCTTTATATTCTTGTACCTTTTGAAGTCTTGTAAATTTGTTTATGTCCCATTTTTTCCTCGTTTCTTTCGTGCTTGATCTTTTGGTGGACAGTTTCTCTTTCAATTTGGATCTTACTAAGAAATGATCTGAGTCACTATCTGCCCCCCGCATGCTTCTGACATCTTCAATATTACTGGAAAAACGACCATCTATCAGGACGTGGTCAATT